GCCCCTCATTGGTATCTTTCGCAGTCATAAAGCCACCTCCGCGCGAATTGATCGCTGGAAGCTTCGTTTAATGCCTTACAACTATCATCTTGTCTACAAACCTGGTAAAGATGAGAAAAACCCATCTGACTTCCTTAGCCGACACCCAAACTGCTCAGAGCCCCAACCGGAAAGCGTTGCTGAAGAATACGTTAACTATGTAATTGCCAATGCCGTGCCCACCGCCATGACCCTTCAAGAAATCCAGCTTGAAACATCAGTTGATGACACAATGCAAATGGTCATTCAAGCCATCGAAACCAACAATTGGTCGGATCCGTCCACGACAGAATACAAGAAAGTGAGTGACGAACTGTCAGTACATAGAGGAATTATACTTCGTGGACACCGAATCGTAATGCCCACCTCCTTAAGACGCCGGACAATCCATCTCGCACACATTGGTCATCAAGGAATCATTAAAACCAAACGCTTACTCCGCTCGAAAGTCTGGTTTCCTAACATCGACAAGATGGTCGAAGAAACCATTCAGAATTGCCTCCCCTGCCAGGCTGCTACTTCGGGCAACCACCCTCCACCTGAGCCACTCAAGATGACCCAGCTGCCATCCGCACCTTGGAAAGAAGTTGCAATGGATTTCCTGGGCCCTTTTCCAACCGGCGAATACCTTCTAGTCGTAATCGATGCGTTTAGTCGAAGTTGAAGTACTCACCACGGTTTCCGCAAAAGCTGTCCTTCCAAAGTTGGATGCAATATTTTCACGACAAGGCCTTCCAGAAGTTCTGAAAAGCGACAATGGCCCACCATTTAACGGTGCCGAGTTCGAGTCATACGCCAAGCACTGCGGTTTTACTCACCGCAAGATCACGCCATACTGGCCTCAAGCAAATGGAGAGGCCGAGCGTTTTATGCGCACACTACAGAAATGTATTCGGGCTGCAATCATCGAGAAGAAAAACTGGAAGCAAGCGATGAACCAGTTTCTCCTCAACTACAGGGCAACCCCCCATTCCACTACTAACATATCCCCCTCCGAAAGCCTCAACAACAGGAAGATAAAGACAACAATGTTACCGGAGATGCCCTCTAGTTCAAAACCAGAACAGACAGCAATGGCTGAATATGATGCTCGGAAGAAAGAACAAATGAAATCTTGCGCAGACAACCGTCGGGGTGCCAAAGAAAGTTGCATCAAACCAGGTGACACCGTCCTTCTGAAACAGCCGAAGGAAAACAAATTCAGTGCTCCATACAACCCTCAACCTTTTGTCGTAGAAAAGAAAAAGCGAACAATGGTCACTGCCAAGAATGATTCAAAGGTTGTCACACGAAACTCCTCGCAATTCAAGGTGATCTCAACCAAGTCAGCCAAACACAATGACAAGGAAGTTGAACCAAAGGTTCCAAGACCATCAAACCCCCAAGAACAAAAAACACTTCAACAAAGACCGAAACGGAACGTAAGACAGCCAGCAAGGTTCGCGGACTATGTAAACTATGAACCAATGTGAACCAAATGACAGTTCGGACAATATCACTGTCCACAGCATATTAGTCAAAGGAACAGTGACTCGGACAAGTTAATGTTTATATTAATAGATGGAACTATCATCTGACAATGGGAGGGATATAATATAGTTAATAAGCTCATTGTTGTTATGTTGCCTTGGCGCGCAGGTGGACCGCGTGCGGGGTCTGAGACTAAGACTTTTTGGCGCCAATAGATAGAGTTTTATTAGTTAGTTTTGCATGTGGATATATACGAGAGGTTATCAATAAAAGTGTTTAACTACAACATTACAACAACATGTGCAACAAATATTTGCAATCTAGCAGGTTGATACCCAGAGTATATCCCATTTGGAGAAGGATATTGTTTCCGTATTACTGTAACACAACAGCTTGGAATCATTCTCCTGTTCCCACTTCCTTATCTTTTCATGTTGCCAGAGTACATATTGTTTGTAAGCAGCATGGTGAAAATTTTCATTGTTTCTAACATTATTTAACACTAAACAGTCTTCTGGTCCTGTAATGCATGGCCAGGTCCAGAACGTTTCCATCAAGTACTAACTGTGGGGAACAGAGGGGCTAGGGTCTTGCAAGGCTGTACTGTTTGTGTACAGCATTTGTTTTCCAATTGTGTTGGCCTTCCAATACAGCATCCACATTCGCAACACTCTGGGACATTTTCTGGGTTTTCCTCTGGGTCTGGTTGAAGCGGTGCACCTGGCAATTCATTATTTACCAAATCAGCAAATGTACCTGGCTGACGCTGTATAGGACATTTAGGCTGACGCTCTTAGGGCATTTAAAATTAAATCCATTGCTTCCACAAGATTCTGAAATGTAAAGATATTTATCATTAATTAAATGCAAAGACTCAAGCACAGTGAAACACTGATATTTTTACCACAAATTCCTCTATAGACTTGTATATAAACGGGTAAACTCTTTTTATATAATTTGATCGGCAAGGATATGCATAATTATACAGAGTATGTAATAAAACAAATCATATGTGTTAATTAAAGCTTTCAAAAATGTACTGTCACTCAAATGTACACTGTATGTCTGTGCATATTCTTGGCAGGCAAAAGCAGGCAAAGTATTAAACTATGTAAACAAAGTTTGTTCATGTATTGTTAGATGATCATTATCCTTCGTTTAGAGTGAACAGTCACAATGAACAACATTACATATTCTCAAATGAACATTGCTCAGGCCATTTTTTGCGTAAACGAAACATGTATAAACTACAATGAGCGAAAATAATATGATTACATGTACATGTGTGAATCACGTTTATAACGAACAGTATAACGAACAGTGTCAGTACATACTAGTAATAGCAATAGTAGAAACTCACCATCTGGTCACTGTCACGTTCTTGTACCCTTCGATTGTTCATACATGTATCAAAATCCTATTCGTGGCACACACTTGAGCAAAAATTACCCATACTTTTGCAGGCTCTCTATCGTAAACAGAAGCCGCGACACGAACATATCGTCTCCACATATCTTCCAGCGAAAAGCTTAATTTCTCCGAGTGCTTTGATCTGCCATGACAGCAACAATGACTCTGACAATGTGTTTCGACGAACAAATAACCCAAGCAAAGGTTCATGTTTACTTTGGCACTTCCAAAGTTTATTTTACAATGCCGAACATTATATTCAGAATACGTACAATGGGTTGCAAACTCGCACCCGGCACCTTTGCTGTGTCGGCCTCTTCTGGATATTTCATTATATAAAACGAAACACACGAAAGAAAAATGTCGAATTAATCAGCAATATATCTTCCATTGGTGGTCTGTTAAAATATTTAATTGCTTGTCTTTCAGAAGACAATTTAAAAAAAAATTAACTTCACTCCTGGTTCCTTCATTTATAATTTGTTTAGTGCATAGTCGTATACTTCATATTATACAATTGAAGTGGATCCAAACCAAAACAAAAGATGTAAACAAAGCCCGCACATGCGCAGAATGGACTGTAACCCAGCTTTAATGATATTTTTGCCTTTTTTTGCTGCAAAAAATTTATTTTTTAAATAACAAGGTCAGTTCCTCAGCCCCCTGTGGTTGAACCAGAGCCTTCGCGACATTTCAATTTATTATTTACTGTCGAAGGCTCTGGAATCCAGGGTACGCTTGCCGTTACGATAACGTAAATTCGTAAAATCGCGCGGGAAATACAAGTCACGTTGTAACAAGTGCTTAGACTTAGTAATAAGGCCGGGGGAGGTCAAGGAGGTGGAATTCCGTGTTCGATTTTGGTTTCGGTGGTTTTGGTCTTTTCCGATTCTTGTTCCGGTCGTTCCGGTGGTTTCGTTCCGGTTGTTTCGGTGGTTCCGTTCCGGTTGTTTCGGGTTCTGGCGCCATATTTTGATACGACTACACGTGTTGCTTGCAAACTGTGTCTCTGAATATTCTCAATTTTATGATCAGAAATTCTGTAAGAACCGAAGTATTATAAAGATTCAATAAAGAAAGACTCGAGGGAACAGTTGGGTGATATTTTTATCGATATTTAACCGTACGGGGAAAAGATCAAAAGCTGAAACCATGTCTACGAAATGCGAGGTTTGTAACAAGGTATTTTCTACGAAAGGAAATTTGGTGGTACAGAAACAAGCACATACTAGAGAGAAACCTTATGAATGTGATGTTTGCAACAAAAGATTTTCGCGGTCAGACGACTTAGCTAAACATGAAAGAACACACACTGGAGACAAACCTTATGAATGTGATGTTTGCAACAAAAGATTTTCGTGGCCAGACGGGTTAGCTAGCCATGAAAGAACACATACTGGAGACAAACCTTATGAATGCGATGTTTGCAACAAAAGATTTTCACACTCGAGCACCCAACTAAACATAAGAGAACACACACTGGAGACAAACCTTATGAATGCGATATTTGTAAGAGGAAATTTTCACAATCTGGCAACTTAGCTTCCCATAAAAGAACACACACTCGAGAGAAACCTTGTGAATGTGATGTTTGCAACAAAAGATTTTTGCATTCAGACTACTTAGCTGTTGATAAGAGAACACATACTGGAAACAGACCTTATGAATATCACATTTGGAACACAAAATTTTCAGAATCACACAGTTTAACACGACATAAAATATCCGCACACAAGATAAAGCAGTGTTTTGAGTGTGTTAAATGTAAGAAAATATTCACAGAACGTAAAGGTCTCAAACGTCACTGGAGAGTACATTCAAAAGATGGCTATAATTATTATTCTGCAACAGTTGTGGCAGGGAAATTATTCAGTCGCAAGGCCAAGGACATGCTAATGAGAAACTGAGTGTTGATCATTTTGTCTGTGATAAATGCGACAAACAGTTCCCTGACATTGAAAGTTTATATCAGCACAAGGCCAAAGACCATCATACGTCCTACCAATGTGGTATTGGTTATGTCTGTTGTGCAACTGGTATTGGTTATGTCTGTTGTGTCTGTGATGCCAAGTTTGAAATTGTAACTGAACTTGAAGATCATACCGGTATGAGAATGCATAACAATGTGCTTCCCCACTAGCAAGACAAGGTAAATTGAAACTATTTTGGGTTTATTAGGTTGTTGCGATATGAAAAACTCAACATATTGATATTCAAACAAAAATATCGACTATATTGAATTATGAAATTAGAAAACATAGTTCAGTCAGCCTGCATATATACCCACGTCACAGTGGGTGGAGCCTGTGTGCGAGCCTGCGATGTTGCACTGGGTGGATGGATTATAAATAGCCTATTATAATAATAACCCATGGTATTTCATGTAACCGAAAATTTGTTTTATTATATTGTGCAGTTGGTTTTGAAAATAAAAAAATATTTGTTGCCAATGCCAGGGGTCTCCCGTGGGCGGTTCAGGCCCACTGGGGTATGCACCCCACGTAGTGCTGTCTTGCACCCCCGTAGAGAAGTCCAGCTCCCCAGCCGAAAAAGATTTGCTTGTCGATACATTTTCTGGTTTTCCTATAGTGATTAGAGGAACTTCCACTGTTACCAAGTGCAGTGGCGTAGCCAGCAAGACGATTTAGTCCCCCTATGCAAATATTTTCATGTTCATTGACTGTGAAAACAATCAATTTCGAAAGAAATGAATAATGATAATAATTTTGAATTTGCATAGCGGGACTAAATTGTCAGGCTGGCTACGCCACTGAGCAAGTGTCAATTTCTTGAATATTGATTTGTGAGCTCACTGTTACTCGAGAATACTTGAGTTAAATATTAATATGGTTGAATGTGTACATAAGCGTACCGGGGGGGGGGCGGGGGGGGGCGGTAGCCCCCCCAGTTTTTTGGACAGTCGGGCAATATTCGATTAACAGTCGGGCAATTTTGGGTTGTTATAAAAAAAAATCGGACAAATTATGTCATTTTTTTCGAAAATTTAGTCCATTTTGTGGCAAATGTAGTGTTTTTGGAAAATTGATGTTATGCTACGAAAATTTTTGGTACGTCCGGAAAATTTTTTTGACCCCTTAAATGGTACACTGACCGAAATTTTTTTGGCGACGGGGGGGGGGGTGGGTGGACGTCGCCAAAAAAATATTTTCCTGGAAAAAATTTTTGGTACTAGTCGGGCAAAATCACGAAAAGTCGGGCAATTTTATGAAAAGTCGGGCAATTTTCTTTCCGCCCCCCTAATTTTTTCCTTC